AGCCCAATGCCCAACCCCACCACCAACCAAGCCCAGCACCCCTCACCTGCACACACCCTCTCCAGCACAGCCTCCCTCTACCTGGCCTTGGCACCAAGGACCCAGAAAGCCCATCAGAGCAGAGCCATGCCTTCTCCTTCCTCTGTCTCCGCCGCCGCCTCCTCTTCAGCAGGTGGGCAGCCCAGGCCGGCTCTATCCACGCCATCTCCAGCACCACCCCCCATGCTGCCAGCACCAGGGGCTAGGAAAGGGGAGCTAAGATGAAGGTGGGGAGCAAGTAGGAAGAAGTCCCTGAATTTTCCTTCCCCTGCACACGGGGCTACCACCTCTGCCGGAGCCAGACAGCCACCTTTCATCAACCACTTACCCGCTCCTGAGTAAGGCTAGAGTCAGGGGCCAGTGAGGGCTGGGCCACACAAACGTGGGCCAGGAGGGCAAGCTGGAGCTTCAGCCAAGGGTGCACGCAGGGGTGGTAGAGGAAGCTGACATCCTCGGCCTAGAGAAAAAAGCATGGAGACATCACGCCAGGACCATCGCGCTCCCTGAGAATCCCAAGGCCTCCCATCCTGGGGGGCCAGCTTAAAGGGATTCCTGGGGTGGCCAGATGACCCCTCTTCAGGACTCAGGAAAGTACAAAGAGCCCTGGGTGCTGGTGAGCATTCCCTCCTGCCTCCGAGTGTTCCTCTCATCCCTCCACTCCATCAGGTGCCACCCCTCAAAGCTCACAGTTAACGCTCTCAGACCCCACTCTTCAGCTGTATTTCTCTGCACCTGCAACAGTGGCTCCCCAGGTCCCCAGTCTAGATTGTAAGCATCCCCCACAGGGACACCAGGTCTTCTATTTATTGACTCTACCTATATATTCAATCTCCCCCCAAACATCCAAATACAGGGCGCTCAGGCAGCAGATGCACAATCCCACGATGGAAACACTTCATCAATTATTAATTATTCTTTGATTGAGCTGACCTGATGCTCAGCACTGTGCCAGATGTTATAGGAGATTCCAAAAGACAACTCCTGGACTCTGCTTACAGGGAATGTAAAGGAAACTCAGGGCAATAGAACTAATGCAAATGAAAGAGCAAACTAATAAAACTCAAAGTGGCTACTTGCTCAATTATAAGACCTAAGCTGTAAGCATTACATGAATTTGGAGAAGGTGATGAGTAAGGGCTGGCGTGATCAGGCAAGTTCTCGAGAAAGCTGACTGGGCTTTGGAGGTGGATGGGATGGATGGCAGGAGGGCAGGGAGCTGCCCACTTCAGCTTCAGGTCAGGATAGGCCCAGTGTGGAGAATAAGCAGCAGCAAAGGTACAGCAATGGGAATGAGCCTGGAACTCACATGTGTGGTGAGTAGACCAACACAACTGGAGAGGAACCAAAGATCTGGGGAGGTCAGATGAGGTTTATTTAAGCAGGGCCTGAAAAAGCTGGGGGTAGGGGTGGGGAGAGGCATCAGATGGGTATGACCACGATAAGATGAGAATAAAGAGCCATTGAAGGTTTCTGAACAGTGGAATGATTTAATGAAAGGGTGTTTTAGGGAAGGAATCAGGTAGGTGGCATGAGGTTTCTTGGCCTGGAGCTATTACAAGGTTCAAAAGATGTTTTGGCTCATCTCGGTTAAACATCTGCCTTCACTCAGGTCGTGATCCCAGAGTCTGTGGGACCCGCAACCATCGGAGCCTGCATCCATGGGGACTCCCTGCTCAGCGGGGAGCCTGCTTTCCCTCTGCCCCTCCCCCCACACCCCTCCCCCCAACGCTCCTGCTCCCTCCCTCCCCCTCTCAAATAAATAAAATATTAAAAAAAAAAAAAAAAAAAGGAAAACCCAAAGGGACAGGGAAGCTATCTGACCACTAGCAACGAAAACAGAGGCGGCCATGCAAGGCGAACCCACGGTTTGGTGCCTGGTGACCTCGGGCACACTCTTTACCTCGGCACACCCTTACCGCCCCCCTTGCACTTCCTTACAGCTTCCTACTACCCCCAAGTGCTATCACACACAGCTCGTTTAGTCCTCGGGAGCAGAGACGTTACTAATATCCCCTTAAGAAAACTGGGGCCCAGAGAAGTCAGGAGCCGTCCCACAGTCACACAGCAGAGTTGGGGCAAGGGTTGTTTTTTGGGTCAGAGTTGCCCTTGCAGCCTCCTGCCTACGGGCAGACAGCTACCGCCCGACAGCATTCCTGACGCAGCCCTGACAGGGCAGAGGCCCACGGCTCCCTGTCCTGGGCCTGACAGCACTGTCTCCTCCTGAGGGAAGAGGTGGAGAAGGGAGCTGGAGAGCAGAAAAGGCGGAGAACGCCTGCCAGGAGCTCGCGCTTGCCCACCGAGGACGGCCCCCGCCTTGCACTTACCGGCCATCGGCTCCTCCGCGCGTAAGTCACTCTCGGCGACACCTATGCATGCGGGGAAAAGAGGGCTTAGAGCAGCCGGGGGACTCCGTGCGGGGCAGGGGGGGGCAGCAGGCCCCATACCGCCGGCCGGGAGCGAGGCGTTGGCGACTGACGGCCAGAGGAACCGGCAGAGGTCCTCAGAGCGTGACTGTGGAGGGCGCAGCGAGGCCGGAGCGGGGCTGGGCTGCTCCTTCACACCCCTCTCTCCCACCCCCCCGCCAGGCTCCTACCTGCGGGGGGAGAGGCCACAGGCCGTCGGGACAACCGGCTCTCGCTTCCTCCTCCGGCTCCGCCACCACCTGTGGGTCCAAGGCACAGAAGAGCCGCGGCACTGGGCTCGGCGGGGGCCCTGCCCCACTCCCTCCCAGGCCCAGCCCGCCAGGGGAGGGCTCCTAGTCCCCTCTCCACGCGCCACTCCTTCCAGGACGAACTTTCGGCAAAGCGCTTTGAGATCCCAGGCCGAAGCCTTCTCGCGAGCGGATGGCCTTACCTCACTGGGACCTAGGAGCCCCGCAACGGCTGCCAGGAGAAGCAGCTGGGGCGAAGGCGGAGGAGGCGCCATCCCGGCCCGCCCGGGAATCTGCCGGCCGCCCAGCAAGCCAGGGAGCGCGCGCCCCTGCGTCGCCTCCCACGCCGCCCGTGTGCCCACGTAGACCCCGGGCGCGCGCGCGGGCGCCGTCCCGCCCCCACCTCCAGACCGCGCGCCCCGACGCCCCAGGACCGCGCGCCCCCGCCTCGCCCCGCCCCCGCAGCTGCGTGCTACTCTCGCCCCGCCTCCGCCCCGCCCCAATGCCCGCCCACAACCGCGGACCCTGCGCGCACGCGTCCTAAACTCGAAGCCGGAAAAGTTTCGCGCACGAGCCCGGCCCCAGTGCACCGCGCTGCAGGACAGGCGGGGATCCCTCCTTAGCCCGCGCTTTCGTCCCAGCGCGTCTCCGCGGCCTGCAGAGCGCAGCTGCAGTGCATGGGTGGTGGGATCATGGAGCGAGGCGAAGGGCGGGAAATGAGATCCCAGTGGACCGAGTAGCCCCGGAGGGAATACCCGTACGCTCCTCCGGCAAACCCGCTTCAGACACGTCAGTGTGACCTGCAGCTAGAAGAGGGGCAGAATCCAGAAGTCCGAGCAGCGGAAGGAAGAGGGTCACCACTCTAGAGCTTCACCTTCAGTCCATCCCACCCGTGCCCTCGCAAATAGGGCCCGAACCCAGAGGAGCTTCGGAGGGTCTCGGGCCTCTACCCTCCCCAGGCCCAGAACTCCGAGGAAGCCGAAGCCGGGCCTGGGGCTGCTTTGCTCCCCCACTCCCGCCTCCGCTCTTGTTTGTTCAGCGATAGCCGGCGTGTGCTCAGGGAGATATTTGTCACCGTGAGGTGGAGGAGTCACAGGCTTCGCCCCAGCAGGGAGCGCTGGCCGGACCTCCCCTGAAGTGGGGGGGGGGGGTGCGCCGGCTCTGCTACCCTCTTTCCAGAGCCCTTCTCCTTGGCCTGGCTCAGGATTTTGAGGAAAGACGGGAACGTGTGTGGAGGGTGAAGGTTGAGATGCCCAGCCTCAAACTTCGAAATAGAGCGAAAGTGGGTTATTTCAAAATAGAGCAAGAACGTGACTTACAAGGTGGTTACTTATCCATCCCTCCCTCGTTCCCCTGTAATTGCCAGTTACTGAAGTGATGAAGGGACTGCAACCTAGCCCCTGCCACGGCCCCATCACAGGATGACAGGCATCCCCCTAGCAGCGCGCCTGTGTGCATCTTTCCCCCCAGTTTGGGGCTGTTGCTTCTGGGGAAGTCTTTCTCAGGGAGCGGTGTTGAGGATTTTCATTAGCTGAAGCGCCTCCTGGGAGCCCCATGCGCCGGGGGGGGGGGCGGATTCTTACGGCGCGCTGATGCAGGCCAGGGAACGAGCAGCCCCCGGCAGCAAACCTGCTGTGGGGCGGGACGCCGGCCAAGCCCCCGAGGGCCCGGAGACGGATCCCCCGCCCGGCCGGGCTCTAGCGCAGTTGAGGGTGCCCGCACGGCCGAGACAAACACCGAGGTCAGAGAGCGCGGCCGAGCCTGGGGAGGGAGGAGCGGTTAGTGGCTCCGGCTGCAGCTGCAGCGGCCCCGCGGGAGCCCGAGAGCCCGCGCTCGGAGCTGGGGGTTTATTCACTTCTCCCTTTTGCGACTTCTCAGCTGCGGCCCCTGAGGGCGCAGCGACTCAGGGTCTCCCCGCGCAGCTATACACCAAGCTGGGCCGAGGGGAGGGGTCGGCGGGGACTCTGATGCTTATCCCGGTGCCCCGATCCGAGTCTCCCCACTCTCTGCCGCCAACACCCCACTCCTCGGCTCGCTGCCCTCCCCACTCCCTTCCGGCTCGCTGGCGCGTCCTCGCTCCCTTTTTGTGGCCTAGGCTCCTTTCACCCTCTGCTCCGGCTTGTCGCAATCGCTGTACAAAGGGCCTGGGGCGGGATTGGGGTGGGGGGGGCGGGCGAGGGGAGCCGGGGCCGAACTGGCTGCCTCTGCGGGGCCACGGCCAATCCCGAGCGCCCACCGCCCACCCCCACCCCCCACCCCACCCCCGCGCAGGAGAGCCCTGGGCAGCTCCGCCCGCAGAGCCGGGAGCTCGCCGAGGGGACGGCCCCGTTGCCTGCCACCCTCCACCCGCCGGGGGCTCTCCTACCTCGCCATGCCGCCGTGGGGCGCCGCCCTCGCCCTGCTCCTGGCCGCGCTCGCACTGCTTGGCCTGCTGGCCCCGCGGCTGCGGCGCGCCGTCGGAGCGAGGACTCTGCCGGGAGCCCGCGGCCAGGACCACGAGAAGGAGGCAGACGGCCGAGGGGCCGCGGCCCCGTTCAGCGACGGACGGGAGCCGCTGCCCGGCGGCTGCAGGCTCATCTGTAAACCGTCGGCGCTGGCCCAGTGCCTGCTGAGCGCCTTGCGACGCTCGACTGCGCTGGAGCCGCGCCCGCGCTCCTGGCTCTCTGGGCCCCACCTGCAGACCCTCTGCCACTTCGTGCTGCCGGTAGGGCCGGGGCCTGAGCTGGCCAGGGAGTACCTGCAGTTAGCGGACGACGGGCTGGTGGCCCTGGACTGGGTCGTGGGACCTTGTCCCCGGGGCCGGCGGGTCACCAACGCAGGGGGCCTCCCCGCGGTGCTGCTGGTGATCCCCAATGCATGGGGGCGCCTCACTCGCAACGTGCTCGGCCTCTGCCTGCTCGCCCTGGAGCGCGGCTACTACCCGGTCATCTTCCACCGCCGCGGCCACCACGGCTGCCCGCTGGTCAGCCCCCGGCTGCAGCCTTTCGGGGACCCGTCCGACCTCAAGGAGGCGGTCACTTACATCCGCTTCCGACACCCGGCGGCCCCTCTGTTCGCGGTGAGCGAGGGCTCGGGCTCGGCGCTTCTGCTGTCCTACCTGGGTGAGTGCGGCTCCTCCAGCTATGTGACCGGAGCCGCCTGCATCTCGCCCGTGCTGCGCTGCCGCGAGTGGTTTGAGGCCGGCCTGCCCTGGCCCTACGAGCGGGGCTTTCTGCTCCACCAGAAGGTGGCCCTCAGCAGGTGGGTAACGGAGGCCGCAGACCGGCTAGAGGGAAATAGGGATCTTGGGCTGACGAAGAAACGGCCCTGCCTGGTATCGAATCACATAGGTTTAGGGCAATTTGGGCAAAGTTCTCTTCACACACTTTCCGAGGCTGTCCAAACCCTCCAGTCTAGACAGAACCAGGGAAACAGGTTTAAAAGCCGTGGACGGACTTAGCATCATTATGCTAGAACAGGGACTCCTGCCATGGGGCCCCATGGCCTCAGGTTGCCCCAGGGTGTCCTAGCAACCTGAGCACCTGCCCCACCTGTAAGCAGAGGCAGCGCCAGACAAGTTTACCACTTAACCCACAGCTTGTCAAATCAGCAAAGAGGGTCCTGGAAGCAATTGCAACTGATTGTCCAGAATGTTTCCTTATAACATCTGAGCCTGGAGGTGACAGGAATCAGAAATTTGGTGGTATGTGATTTATTAACATTCTCTGGACCCCACGAAGGTTTTTGCATATTCCTCGATATTGATCCAAAAATGTAAATATGTCAACATACTTTTTAAAAAAATCTCCAAAAGGAGAGCAATCCACCATTAGGTTGACAGGTGAGGCTTTGGCACCGGAGAGGCCTGAACGACCATGCCCACAGCAAATGACCAAGCCTCAGCTTGCACTGTTGCCTTCCTAGGAGGTGGCAAAATGAGGTCAAAGACATTCAAGCAGAAAGTGTGATGAGGCAGAAAGACCTGGGATGTCCAATCAGACCCACGTTAGTTCAAATCCTAGCACTGGGTAGGTGCTCAGAAAGTGGTGGCAATTGTGATTTCTCTTTTTCTCCTTGCTCCGTTTTGTTCTGAGAAGGTCAAACCCTGAGCTCAACAATGGCCCGAAGTGCTGTCACGGCAGAGCAGTCCAAGGCAAGGTGTTCTCATATGGCTTAATTGCCAGTTTCCATCCCCAAATGACACCCCCGCTCCCTGCCCAGTGCTGACTCGAGGCACCAGCTGGCGGATAAGGTGAGGGAAGTGGAGAGGAAATCTGGGCCTTTAGGTTCTGTCCTGCCCATGGAAGTTTGGAATGGAAAACTCAGGGCAAGCCTCTTTGAATGTTTGCCGGAGACGCACATCCAAATTCAACTGGAAGTCTGGATTGGTCCATCCAAAGCACTGAGCTGCCCATCCCAGCCTTTGTGTCAGGGTGCCAGGCTTTCTCCATGGAGGTTGAAACAGCAAAAATGTCCCTCTTCCCCAGAGCAGTGGTTCTCAGTCTCCCATGTGGGAACTTACCCTCCAAAGTAATTACACTCCTGGCTACTTCCTCTGCCGCTCAGCCCTCTCTAGGAATACCTGTACCACAGCTCAAGGTTTGCCATTATCTGGACAGCATGTTAGCTTTTAAATATTAGACTAATATAACCTGAAGTAAAATGTTAATGATGGGGGGGATGTCACCTGCTGGTTTGAATAGTCTGAGCCAGGGAGTTCTAGGAGGGGTTCGGGAGGTGATGGTTCAAAGCAGGTTGCCTAGAAGGTCAGGAGTCGAGGTGAAGAGGAGGGCTGTCACTATGGATCAGCCGCTGTGAAGTCATTTGCTGCCCCAGGGCTAGGCAGGTTAATGCCATGAATGCAGGCCTGGGAGGAACTGTGACACAGGCATGAGGGGAGAAATGCCCTGAATGCCAGCCCATGTTGCCAGACCTTTCCATTTCCTAAGAGATCCCAAATATCTGCAATTTATGTGAAATCTCCTGGTTTTAAATGATGACAGTGGGGTGCCTGGCCTGCTCAGTCCGTAGAGCATGTGACTCTTGATCTCAGGGTTGCTGTCCCTCCTTTGGGCATAGAGTTCACTTAAAAAAAAAAAAATCTTTAAATGATGACAATGAAATGGAAGTTTAGTATCATATGGCCAAAGGATGCCTCTGTGGCCAGAATCTGGCCCGCGGCCTGCCTCTCTGGAACTCCTGCTGTCGATTCGTTTTCTCATTCCTCCCTCTCTCTCCTACCTTCCCTGTTCCGTGTCGTGCTGCCAGGTACGCCTCGGCCCTGCAGGACACCGTGGACACCCACAGACTGTTCAGGAGCCACTCCCTGCGCGAGTTTGAGGAGACCCTCTTCTGCCACACCAAGAGTTTCCCCATCAGCTGGGACACCTACTGGGACCACAACGACCCCCTCCGGGACGTGGATGAAGCCGCTGTGCCTGTGCTGTGTATCTCTAGCGCCGACGACCCTGTGTGCGGGCCCCCGGACCACTTTCTGCCCACGGAACTGTTTCACAACAACCCCTACTTCTTCCTCCTGCTCAGTCACCACGGAGGCCACTGCGGCTTCCTGCGCCAGGAGCCCTTGCCAGCCTGGAGCCATGAGGTCATCTTGGAGTACTTCCGGGCCTTGACTGAGTTCTTCCGAACGGAAGAGAGGATGAAAGGGCTGAGCAGGCACCGGGTTTCATTCCTGGGGGGCCGGCGTCGCTGGGGAACCCTGCAGAAAAGGGAGGCCTCTCCCTCTTCCAATCTGGACGAGATCTTTAGCTGGAAGCGATCGTATACGAGGTGAGACCTGGCCCAAGAAGAGAGCTGGGCATGCCAGAGTCCTGAAACGGCCGTGAGGACGGAAGGGGGCCTGCAGCTGGAGGCCTTTGCCGCTGATTCAGCCCCCTCTCTCCTAGACTGGTCTGTGCAAAGAGATGGAACTTCCAGCAAGCTGGTGCTCACTTTACCCTGAGAACATGCCTGCCCCAGGCTTTGCTCAACACATTCCAGCTCTTCCTGGTCCGTAGCTGGGCTGTCACTGTCACGCTCTCCAGTCACCGACCTCCTAAGCCAAAGAATAGCACCCTTTGAGTCTATGGACTCGAGAAAATGCTCCGTCCCTAGCGAGGACCCTAGAGAAAATGGGTGTATGTGCGTCATCGGGAAGCTCTGTCCCACATAAATAATCAGCCCTCCGACCCTGATTCTCGAGCTGGAGCCACTCAGTGTCGGGAGGACAGGATGTTTGTGTCTCAGTCCCACTTCCCTCATTCGGTTCTGTGGTTGTGGCACTCTGCTGACTTCATGCTGCAGCCGCCGTGGAAGCGGCTTCCTAGAGCCGCGGGGCTGCGTCAGTCTTGCATGAGTGTGCGAAAGGCGGCCGAGGCAGTAAGTGCGGTGCCGAGGCAGTAAGTGCGGTGCCGAGGCTGGGCTGGTGAGGACCTCAAGGTACAGAGTGTGTGTGTCAGTCGTCTGGAAGCCTGAGGTCCGGTCTTCCAGACCAGTCCTGAGGATCTCGGTTGGGCTGATCTGGGGCTTCCGGCTAGGGTTTCAAGCCTAGGGAGATCTTCAGGATGATTTTAGGAAGAGGGAGTCCTCGCACACAGGGTCCGCCAGCCTCTGGGGCACTCTGGCTGCTCCCTCCAATACCGTTCCTGGAGATTACTCCAGAAAGTCCTAACCAGGGCTGGTTTTCTTCTGCTGTGCGGGCTTCTCCTAGGTGGTGAAGAGTATAAACCTGCTATCCTTGGTGTTTTCTGGGTCGTTGCCCTCTTTTCTGACGCTACTTCTAGCCTCTTCCTTTCCAGAGCCTGGAGAGACATCTGGGACCAGAGAAAACAAAATTTGCAAGAGGTTGGCAAGCGCTTACTCAGTGACTTATGAATATTTCACATTACCATGCTTTTTCTGCTCAATTTATTCAAAAGGCCATCCATGTCGATGTAGAAAAGGCTTCTTCCTGGATCTGGCCACTCAGGGGCTGGTTTTACGGTGTTTGGTTTTGTGAGGAATAATGCTGAAGATCAGAGTAAAGCAAAGCATGGCACGGATTGATCCCCACATCCTGGTTTCAATTAGGCCATTAAACATTATCATAGGACACCTAGTTCTAGGTGTTGCTACGAAGTTTTATTTTAATTTGTCATCAAGAAAGAAGACACCTGTTATAACAGGAAGCTCCCTCCTGGCCTCACAAACAGCAAACCAATTTTAAAGAGGAGAGATGTTATCAAAAGCCATGTCCTGTGGCTCGGTATGAGGAATTCCAGGGGCCATAATCTCAGGTTTGGATAATCTTAGTCCAGCCATGTTCTAGATCAAATAGGCAGAAACTAGGGCGCCTGTGTGGCTCAGTGGTTAAGTATCTGCCTTCGGCTCAGGTCATGATCCCAGGGTCCTGGGATGGAGCCCTGCATCGGGGGAGTTCCCCCTGCTCCGCAGGAAGCCTGCTTCTCCCTCTCCCACTCCCCCTGCTTGTGTTTCCTCTCTAGCTGTGTCTCTCTCTGTCAAATAAATAAATAAAATAGGAAGAAACTCTGAACTATCCCAGAATCTCACCTGAGATGCAGACAATGCTCAATTATATCTAAGGCACATTATCCTGTCATCAAAAAAAATCACTTCCCTCCTTCCTCATTTCTTGCTCCCCCTCCTCCATGGTCCCCACCTGACATTCTTTCACCCTTTCTGAGCAGGAGAAATAATGAGGAACTGAAATCTAAAGAAGCATTCTACTGCTCATTTACAGCATCCATCTAGGGTTTGCTGAGGAAGAATTACTGACGTCTGGCCACCCCCCTCCCCCCAGCATCTGGTACAATAGGGATTTCAGTTAATTAGGGTGCTGCAGATCCCCCCCGACCATGCAGGACCCCAGGATCATTCAGAACTGACCGCAGTATGGGGGCAGCCCAGTGGGTTTTAACCTGTCGGGCTTACGGGGCCCCAGTGGCTGAGCTCTGGATTATTTCTCTAGGCCGGATACCATGGAACTCTGGTTCTTTAAGGTAAAAGCTTTTGGAGAAATTGTGAGTTTTCTTTTCCTTTTTTATAAGAAAGCCAAGCTTGCAGGGGTGGGGGGTGGGTATATACATGTAACATTTTTCTTTTAGTGACAGCCCAGGCTTCACTCATCCCCTTGGACCCACAGCCCTAATACAGAGACTCTGAGTATTTCTCCTGTGTCCCCTGTGCCACATGTGCTTATAACCTATCTCAGGAAGCCACTTCTTTCTCATCTTCCCATCACTGTTTTTTCAGCAAATTCTGCCAAAAATGTGCAGTTCCTGTTCAAGCACGTTTGGGTGACCCTGACCTTCAGTCTAACACTGAAGGACTCGTCCATTTTGGCTCTGTTTTGGTGAACAACTAATCATACGAAACCAGCTGGAAGAACCCCAGGCACACTATTCTGAGACAATATGTGACCCCTGAACAAAATCCCAAGTTAGGAGTTTGAGGAAACAAGAAACAAACAACAAAATAAAACTAAGAACCCAAAGAAGTACCACTGAATTGGTTTTCCAGGTCTCGAGTCTTAAGCGATCCTCACAGGCCTCATTCACTTGCTTGCCTTTCTTTTGGTCTCTTCATTATTTATAACCACCTTCAAGTGGTAAGAGAAAACAACAACTCCCCAAACACAATGGTTTAGAGGAGGTATGGTCTCAGAAGTAGATGGAGTCCTCTGTCTCCTCCCATTGGATCAGAATGCAGGAAGCAAAGGACTGCTTCTGAAGGCTTCTGATCTTGGAGACCTAAGACTGTGCTTGCTATGACTTAATTCTCTTAGTATTTTATGTTCTTTATACATAGGTTTCTAGGGTGTCTTGGCCAGAGATGATGGTATGTAGAAGAAAGCACCAACTCCTCACTTTGAGGAGATATCATCTCTGTTTTGAGTGAAGGTATCCTTTTTGAGTACTGTTAAAAAAGAGGCCTTGACACAGGAAGTATCAGCTTGGCTTTAGAGACCTCAAAATTACCCCCGAGTCAGAAGCTCCTCTCTACTTATCTTCCACCCAGACCACAGATCTTTCGTCAGTCAGCCACCCTTGGTATCTTCCTTTAGAAATGAACTTTAGCATGAATTCCTCTCCCTGCTTAAACAAGCAGATACAATTGGCCACTTGGGTAGAACTTGGTAACAATGCCAGTAAGGATCTGTGATTCCCTAGCCAAGCCACAAAGGATGGCATCAGAAATCTTCCCTAGTTCTTACCATTGGCAGAGACAAGACTGAGAAGTTATACACAGGGAGTGCCCAGAGATGGGATGAACACCTCAGGAATTCTCACGTCACTGGTGGGACATGTAAGCTAGACTGCTGTCTGGCACACATCATGGTGGGGACATAAGCCAAGAAATAAGGGTGTCCTAAATGAGTTTTTGTTTTTTTTTAAAGTAAGCTCTATGCCCAACAGGGGGCTTGAACTCACAACCCTGAGATCAGGAGTCGCATACTCTACTGACTGAGCCAGCCAGGTGCCCCAAGATTGGATAGAAGGTCACTTCTCATCTGGGAGTCGGTGAACCGAAATAATGTGAATGAGCTCGGTGGGTTGTAAAGACTTTTGGTTGGCTTGAGAATCAAGATCACAGACCTGATCCAGATTCTGGGAGTTGGGAGATGACATAAAGATTTTAATGAAAATAACCTTGCCAAAGTGACCAGAGGAGGTTTTAAAGTGTCCAGGAAGAACTAAGAGTTTGAAGGAAAAGTGGAATTTCATAAAACAAAGACACTAACACATCAAAAATTAATGTCTCTAGCCCCTCTGCCTCCAGCCTTCCTGTATAATGATAATGAGGTAATACCCTAGTACTTATCACTAGTGTGGTTGAACAAAAACTTCTCCCCAACTTGTTTGCTTCTGAATAATAAACTGCAGTCTCCCTGCAACTATGGAATGTCATTATTTTCTAAATCTCCAGAAACAAAGGCACTGTTTGTCTTCTGAAGTCCTCGGTGTACTGAGCCATACATGCTTACCTACCTGCAGAGTTAACAGAGCCTCCCTGCACATTCTCTATTCACCGGCTGTTGCTTCACTTCTGTACGTCTAGCTTTGTGTCTCCTGACACTAACCAGTGGCAGCTCTGTTTAATCAACAACCAGGCCTCCTGCTCTGGGCTAATAATTTCCCAGCAAGCTCAAAATTCCCTGATCATCGATGGTACCTACACAGATATTTCCCACTGAGCAATTAGTAATTTGGGCATTGAATAGAGAGTACCGAAGTAGCTTGGAGATGAGGGTTCTAGTTGCTACTTTATCTGTGACTTGTGTGTCTTTGGGAAAGTTATTTTACAAGTTGCTCCATATGAAAAGACCGAAACTATAAATAGGCCCTAATTTTTTTTTTTTAAGATTTATTTATTTTAGAGAGTGAGGAGTGCGAGCGGGGGAGGAAGGAGAGAAGCAGACTCCCTGCTGAGTGAGGAGCCCAACATAGGACTCGATCTCAGGACTCTGAGATCATGACCCGAGCTGCAATCAAGAGGAGGACGCTTAACCAACTGAGCCACCCAGGCGCCCCAATAGGCCTTAATTTAGGAGATCTGTTAGGATATAATGAAATAGTAAAAGTAGGTGAGATCCCATTCTCCAAGTCTACTTAGTTCATCAACCGGAGCTCAAAGACCTCTATGATGAGGTGTTATCTGCTTTCCGATCAGAATGTATTCCCCAATTCTTATAAGGCCAAGAAGTTCCAGTTATTCCACTGCAAAGCTGGGAAGGGCCTACATGAGCCGGGTCCTGGGTTGCCCAATTGAGGGCAAACTCTCCCCACCCCCTTCTCAAACATGCGTACACATACACATACTCAATAACCTTGTTATAGCTAATAGGTTTCACACTGGTTCATTTGTTCTGCTGGCCAAAACCCATCTGTTTTCCTAGTTCTTGTAAATAATAGAGAAGATGTGGCTTTAAGATCTCACCATTATTAGTGATGGAGCTAAAGACCAGAACTCAAATCAGTGCTATTTATGCCATACTTTGCCTTCTCCTAGTCCCTGGCTGAGATGACAGTATAAATAATGCCCATTTTAGACTTCATAATGTAAAGGATGGTAACAAAAGGGGAAAGAATTCCTCAGAGTTGCTCTAGTACACACCTCTGTGGGGAAGCCATGCACATTAATCTATAAATAGAACCCTTAAAGTTGCTTATTGCATAGCCTCAACACCCTCTGCAA